TTGCTTTATGCATCTTTCAAATTTGAGGTGCTATTGTAAAGAAGCTAGGATATGTATAAGATTAAGTGTTGTATAAGATTAAGGAGTAGTGTTTGAAAATAAACTATTTAAGCATCTTCTTTCCAATTTTTTAGAACTCAAGTACTTGGCATTCTTTTGCTCATCTCGCTGTCCATTTGTTACTCTTGGTGGTGGTTCACATTTTTTATTCGAAGTTTATGTTCATCTATGTGTCACTAGATTCCTTCTTAATCTTAATATAAGCTTCTTGTTAGTAGCATCATAATTGACTGTGTGAATGAATATTCAGTAATGCTCATCCTCGTTATGCTTTGAGCCTTTTGGTACATGTTTGGAACATTCATGTTACAAATGGAGACACACATCAAATGAAGTTTTATACTTGTTAATAAGTTTGAAAATTAGGTGGCCGAATACCATATTTTATACATGCAGATTTGCAGATTCATTAGTAGAATGGTTCTCAGTTAAGGAAAATTGGTGTTGTCATGGAATTTCACTCGTTCAAGATGCTCATGTTCCCATAAAGTTGAGTTCAACTGGTTGTGATTTTCCTTTTTTGGATATTTTAATTGGGTGTGAATTAGAATTTAGATTATAATTTACATTTGAATTAGAATTTTGATTTGGTTGTTATTTTGGTTCATCTGTGTTTGGTTGTTATTTTGCACATGATTAGCAGAAGTCACCTTACACAGAGAGTGAATTACTAATAGATGTAGGCAGATCAGGAGGAAGGCGAGGTAGGGCTCCCAAGGGTCTGGTGAAAGCCCTCTCCAATGCTCTGTGAACATTCTCTTCATGTCTAAGCTTCTTCTTTAGCTTATCTACCTGACAGTACAGGAACAATATTATTGCAGAGCCATAATCAGTAGAATCAAATTTGGTATGGAATTCAAAAAAAAAATTAAAAAATCAATGGCTAGTGTAATGTAGAGTGGATACATCTTGTTGTAATGCCATTTTCTTAAGAATGCAGAGTTATGTATTTTGGTTCTCTTTCCCTCGCCCATCATCTGAAAATCAAAATAGAGCATAATCAATTTTTTTTTTCGATGTTTTTTCTTCAGTTAAGGGCCAATCAAATCATTGTATATTTAAAAGTAATACCGGGAAGAGAAGGTAAATGCCCCAATGTGGATGTTGTTGAACTGCCTTCAGTTTGAACTGAAAACTTGGATTGCTTTAGTTTGGAATTCTTAATTAGGTATGGATCATATAAATCAGCTGAACTTTCCATATTCCTATTTGAGGAAGAAATGTAAACAGCTTCCTGATAAAGGCCTTGTCTGAAATGCACAACCTGTTCTTCAACCCTAACAACCTCCTCTTCCAAAACAGCCACTTCAACAAGAAGCTGTAGCGTCTAAAAATATCAAAATTCAGAATTATAATCACAATTCTCACCCAAAATACATTTTGTGGTCAAAATTCATTGACTGTTAGATTAAAAAATATTAGGTGAAATTGGGGAAATTGCATCAATGTCAATCTTTCCATTCAAATTTGTATGCCCATTATTCTCATTATTACTAAAATTGTTTGTGGTTCGCTTATCCAAATTGCAAATACTATTCACAATTACAAATATAAAAATGAAATCAAATATAAAAAATGTTTACACAGAGAGTGAATTACTAATAGATGTAGGCAGATCAGGAGGAAGGCGAGGTAGGGCTCCCAAGGGTCTGGTGAAAGCCCTCTCCAATGCTCTGTGAACATTCTCTTCATGTCTAAGCTTCTTCTTTAGCTTATCTACCTGACAGTACAGGAACAATATTATTGCAGAGCCATAATCAGTAGAATCAAATTTGGGCCTTTTTTTACGAGCCCAAGACGAAGAAAACTAGGGTTCCCTATGAGGCCATGCTTAGCCTCGTACAGCAGCAATTGGACGGCGATCAGCCTCCCGGAATAGTCACCGCCGCCGCTGATGAGGTTTTGGGTGTTTTGAAGAACAATAACCCCAACAAGAGGGAGGAGATTGAGAAATTGTTGAACCCTATGTCAAATCATGTTTTCGATCAGATGGTTTGTATTGGGAACCTAATCACTGATTTCCAAGAAGAAGAAGACAATGTTATGCTTGATGATAATGTGGGTTTTACTGTTGTGTTTGACGAGGAAGAAGAACAGGAGGAAGAGAATGGTTTTGATGTGGTTGAGGAGTATGATGAGAAGGAGGGAGAAGATGATGATTGTAGACACCCCATTTTTGACCGACCTTAAGACTCAGACATCACTGATTGAGCGCTCGGTGACGTTGCATATCGTGCTCGTTCAGAAGTCTCAGAGTCGCGGCCGTAAGCCCTGCCTCCGGATTTCCGAACCCTCTTCTGTGCCTTGTCTCGGTTTGCGAACCAGACTCGGTTTTCTCTGTTTCTTTTCCCGAGGGGAGGGAGAGGTCCCGTAGACCATCTCTCAGTGGCCGTGGGCTACATTTTGTGGCCGCAGGCCATTTTGCCCATTTCGGAGTCCGGTTCCCGGTTTTCAGGACCGTTGGCCGTGTGCCTCAGTTCGGGACCGCCTAACCATCTCCATTTGCTCTAATTTTGGCATACATCTTATTTTCTCCCTTTTGAGGGACACTGGGGTCTGAGAAACCCACTTCGTGGCCGAACGCCACTTTTGGTGCTTAGCAGCCCATTTTCGGGACCCCGAACTGCGTGTTTTGGCCCCTAAGTATTCGTTTTGCATTGGTTTTCGTTCATTTTTGGCAGGTGCCTCTGTTTCATCACCAAGAAGGTCACTGGAAGGTGGGAGGCCAGCAATTATCTTGGCAACCAGTTATATTCCATTTTCGCCCTCCGGAATGTTTCCAAGCACCTTAAAACAGATTTCGC